ATAAAAACCCTCTTTGTATTAAGCGTACAGCTTAACATGCTAACCTTTGGTGAGCTACAGTAAGCCAACTTCATGTTCAACACAAAACCTTTAACGTGCATTACTGTACATTGACGATTTTAAACAAAACTTAACTCTCTCTACTTGTAAGATAACGTTTAGTTAACTTACCCTTAAATAACTACATCACGTTTTTCAGTGGAAACACAAACTGCAAAAAACGTTAGCCGCTAACTGTTGTTAGCTAAGACAGCTAGCTATAGCCTCATGGTAAACTTAAGGTTGAGTTAACATTAACGTAACGTTGTAAGAAAGCAAAACGAACCTTCGAGAAAGCTTTTACTCTCTCTCCATAGCGAGCATTGTTGATTGTTCGAAACACGATCTCTCGAAGTGCTGCCCACAAATCGTCGGTTTCATCGACCCCGGATTACCTGGTTCAGCACTTGTTTTGCAGTTTGCGAAATTTTACAATTTTTTGGCCACAAAAACATCCCATAGTCAGATGTTGAGACGGCCCCACATCCCCATACAACACATCGCTTGCCGATTATTCTTGGCGTCTTATTGCTGTGCATCCTTTGTCATAATATTGGGCCCTTTAATGCATTCAAACGGGACAGAGCTCAACTGTGTTCTACTCATGACGTCACCGCCGGAAATGACCGAAGTTGATGTTTCTGGCGCGACGAACGATTGTTACTAACTGACAACTTTTGTATGCTGTTATAATCGTGATTTATTAAAAATACATCAATAATAAAAAAATCATATGGCACATTTCACAATATAAATGCAACCTCTATCATATACCAAGCCCACTAACATGTGCTAATAGCATTTCGTAAGCTCTTTAAGGAATATACAAAAATGTTTTCGTTTTTCTCCCACCATGATCATTTTCATACAGTCCCTAATCACTTCAGCTTTACACATGTGAAATGTAATCACTGAATAAAACAACTGGACTGGATAAAGACAGATGTGTTTATACTTTATGTATCTGTCTTCCTGTAGATGACTTAGGTAGTTACAAATTCAAAGATATCAAGACTTTTTAGTAAAAAAGTCCTGAATTTCATAACAATGTTCATATAAAATAAAAAATGCTACAGAAAAATAATGTGTTGTCAAAAGATCAGATAATATGCAAGTTATTGAAAAATATATAAATTAAGGACAAAGAATGTTTGTATTTTTTCCGTTTTCTGAATACGACAATCATTTTCATAGAGTCCCTTATAGAAATGGCATGTGAAATATAGGGTCTCTAAATAAAAACAAGCTTCAGAATTGTGATGATTACCTAAACTGAATATAATGACTGGACTTTAACTTGGGGTCCATTGGATTACTTGCAGGAAATTCATATTTTGTTCAGTGATAATACCTTTCTCCCTTGTACTCACACATACACACATTGCAACAATAAAATACCCTCTGCTTCTGTATAAAAACATTATGGGAGTTAAAATGTTTGAGCCAAACCAGCACATTCTTGAAGCTGCCTGGTGTTGCAAAAGTGAGGGGGGAAAAAGGGGATACAATTAAGGAATGAAGCTTGATTTATTCTGCTTTATCACACACCACCCACCCACAGATAGAAAATGCTGTTCCCTGCACATATTCAAAAGATGAAAATGTTAAAATCCTCAAAACCCAGTTTTGTAATAAATAAGTGACTATCACTACTAAAGATCAGTTTCTAGATCCAGTCATATGACACACTTACCACAGCAAAAATCATATGAGAAGTTTTATCAAACAAGTTCTCACACTACTACATCCATTCTTTATCTATTTGCGGACATATGACTGTAATGCATGACAAGCTATAGCTTCTCTTATATGAGGTTCACAGACAGGGTAGTTATATAACCGGTACAGCTATGACGGTATACAGAGACAGCCTGGCTGGCTGCAGTAGGGCCCATTCTCATGAGAGCGCGGTAGATTTTTAAGAAACAGTGTGAATCAGTGATCATAAAGCCTGTACCAGACCCATGAGAAACACTTAACCACAGTGGCGGGTTTTTATATACGCTTTTTCATTATTAAAAAAAAAGAGGGAGGAAGCGAGGACATAGGAAGATTGCTCAGCCTTGTTGTTAGGGTGTTAGTGCAGTGTTTTCCCACTAGGGCGCATCAGGGACTGGATAAAGACAGATGTGATTTTTACTGATGTATCTGTATCCTGAAGACTTTGTGGTTAAGAATAAACAAAACAAAAACAATTTGATCTTTAAATCAAAAAAGTACTGAATTTTCCCAACAATATAAAAATAAGAATTCTGTATTGATTTGGAGTGATAATATGGATGGAAGCAATACAAAAGTCCTGAATTTTGAAAGAAAATTGCATATGTTTTATATATATAAGTATATACAGTGTTTCCCACAGATCTGAAATATACTTGGGGGGGTGGTGGTAGCGGGGGGGTGGGGGTTGAGGTGACGTGCCTTTGTGACGTGCAACAACATTAACACTAACCTTTCTGTTGGTCGCTTGTTGGCAGACCCTTCACGCGATGGCAGAGCGAACAGGTACAGGCAGGGCCCATAGTGATAGCCCTATAGTTTAAATCTACTACCCACAAATAAACATATGGACATGGGTTACTATTTAAAAAAAATTGTAAATGTATTTAGGAACCTGTCCATGTGATTTTAAGTGGGGGTGGACCTCAAATTCTCTAAGGGGGGCATGCTCCCCCGGTAAGATTTTTTTAAATTTTGGAGTGAAATGCATCAATCTGGTGCACTTTGAGGGGAAAATAAAGAGGCTAGATCTATGGGAACACCTATATGAAACAGAACTGTATACATTTCAATAATCATAAAATCATGGCCATAACCAATAACATACCATTTCCAATATGAAAAAACACTGACACCCTCAAATGGAAATATGTGTTTACATAAATGGTGACCAAACCATTTGAGATCCACTGAGAACTTAGACTAAGTTAACTATCTAAACACTCCGAGTCCTTTACCTCACCTGAGCTGAGGTTATCCCGAGCTTGAATGACACACAGAGACCAATCAAGGGCTTTGATTTATGATCTGTATGACAGTGGCCATGTCGGCAGGCCACATCATGTGGACAGCCAGTCACCCTGTGTGAGGCAGGCCACTTAACAGGCCAGGCCATCGGGAAACCCCCCGGTCCTCCCGATGGCCAGTCCGGGACTGGGTACAGGAGGCGTAGAGCGAGGGATCATTGTCCACAAGTTAATCGATCGCAGATGGCGTCGTGGTCACGGACGAATACAATTTTTAATTAAAAAAAAAAAACCTAAATGGGTTGTGAAATATACTTGGGCGGCCGTTAATATACCTGGGCGGCCCGCCCAAGTAAAGTCTATGTGTGGGAAACCCTGATATAGGTAATCCTAAAATGTGTGTATTTCATAATGAGTTGGTTTCTTTCTTCTTCTTTTTTTAAATACATTAAGGTAATGAAAAATAGAATGCAACACAATTGAATAGTACTTTCTTTTAAATATGATTTACATAAAAAGCCCTATCTCTTTGATATATTTCATTTTTATTTATTTTATATTTTATTCTCTTCCTAAATTACAATTATCGACTGTATTTGATTCATGTGTTTTGCACCTGATCCTAATTAGTCTATTGTAAAAAAGATTTTCCCCAAAAAAGTCTGCATGTCTTTTATTTCATATTTTGATCCTTATTTTTAACCCTTATTGTACCCAGTTTGTTAAGATTAACTGTCAAACATAACCCCTTCATATTCTATCATACAAGGCTTAGCTGGAGGTGACCAACTGATCTAAAATGATATGTAGGGAGGTCATCACACTCCACAGGGCTGTTTACAGATAGGTTGCTCTGCTCTCTGCTGCTTTACATTGCAAATACACCCGTGTTTACATTTGCTTCACACTGACAATGGTCACTATGGGTTACCTTGAGTCACAACACAGGTAACCAATCAGAACTCACAAGGGGGGCAGTTCTCTGGGAGAAAAAAAAAAGAGGAAGCAATAACTGGCAAGGTCTGAAGGCAAGAAGGAAAACTAAACCTACACTGATCTAAAGCCAATGTGGCACCTTCCTTGGTGACAGTGTATTCTCGAGAGGAAGCTAATCCAGGTCTGTACGCACATGAAGGTTCACTGTTTGCCAAAAAGGTTGAGAACAATTTCCGTTCCTCTTCTGGATCCTGCGGCCAGCTGCTGCTCTGTCAGACACATGCTGTAAACACAAGGTAAGCCCACTGCTTCTTATTCAATAAAACAGGCCCACTACTCTGTATAAAGAAGAATAAAGCTACAGAAAGTGCTAGCCTTGTGCTGAAAGGAAAGTGAAAGTATTTTTCAGAAAGTGAGTGTGAGTTTTTCAGCATGGCTTTTTCATACATTTGACCCACATGTGTTTTGTAAAAAAGTACAATTTCGCTTTCAATGACGGCTAAACCACAAGCATGTGTACACAAGGACCCCCCAAAAAACAGAGGTGTGTTGTGACCACCTCCACCAATCTCCTGCTCTCCGCACACAGACACCATTTTTCAGTGTGTTCATTTAACAAGGCCCGAGAGCAACAAGAAGGGCTTATCAGCAGCTCATTTGCTTGCCATACTGTTATCAGCCTGGCCTAGTTCACACACACACACACACACATGTACACACTCTCTCCCCATTTCTGTCAAACACAGCCGCCGCACTCTTTCTATCGCTGACACTCTCACACACACATGTACGTGCAAACTGGGGAATGAATGTTATGGGGGGCTTATCAGTGTCCTTAGGGGCCTGGCAACCACTTCACAGACTCAGATCCCAGAGCCGAGGCCACAGAGAAGAACCTATGTGACCGGAGTGCTGATGAACAAAGGCTGTGTGCTGTTCAGACTCCTCTATAGAAGCAGCAGGCTGCAGGGCACGCTAACAATGCACATACTGTATGTACACACGGCACAAAGGCAGGCAGTAGTGGCTACCACTCGAAAAAAAGTAAAAAGCCAAATATGCAAGCAGCTTCGTGTATGTTTATTGATAGTAAAAACACATAGAACCGGATTTACAGGTTATGAAGTGGAGAGTATAGCTGTTAATTAATGTTGTTTAACCAAACTTGACATACAGAACACACAGGGAAAAATCTCAGTTTCTGTTAAACATTAAAAACATGATTCATATTAAATAATCTCCCTTTGGGCTGCAACTTCAAAAACAAATCTAGAATAGATATTGACAAAAGCCTTTGACTTTTTCCCAAAGCCCAAAACCCAACAAATTAAGATGAACTACTATGTTAGTAGACTATTGTATTCACATTTTGTTCAGCTTCAGCTGTAATCGTTCCACCAGTACATCTTTGTATACAGCATACAAAACATTACAGTAAGTAGTAGAGAACTCCTGATATGTCTTATCTTTAAATTAGAAAGACGAGACATATTGTGCACATTTTTAGGCTATTATTTGTATTTTTAGGTTTCAACTAGATCATGTTTACATGCTTTGTTTTTCTCATACTGTCCGTCTGAATATACCCGTAATCCCCCCTTTTCTGAAACGCTTCGTTCAAACGCCTGTCCATTTAAGAACTTGTTCGAAAAGCACAGTAAAATAATTCTCAAGTCATTAATGGAAATGAAGATTCTAATTAGCCTTCATGTGACATACGAAGTAAAGCCAAGTCTGAATGGCTCGTTTAATTTTTCTGACAGTGGCAGTCCATAAAAGAGTGTTGTTTTTTTTCAGAGTTTGTCATGGGTGGGCACTCCAGAGAGTTGATGTGCACAAGCAGTGAAAAGGAGTTTGTTCATAATAAGTTCCCCCTTTAAAGATTTAATCATCACGAAAACTGTTGCGGTTTACATTTGTCAGTTCCAGCTCTTGTCTCTGCACTAATAAAGCTTTGCATATTGAATACATTACATTCAAACAAAGGTTTATTTATCCTCACTAATTTGAAAACAATGCTCAGAGAAACTATCCTCTGTTTAACTTGTGTCCTAAATCATTGAGCACAAAACACATCAGAGGAAGCTGAAAAATGTAGAAGGCCATTGCTGGCAGATGATGTTGGCAGCGGTTTGGTACAGGAACTCAGGAAGTGGTGCCTCCTAAACTGAGCTGTGCTTCCTGTGTGATAACTGACCCACACACACACACACACACACACACACACACACACACACACACACACACACACACACACACACACACACACACACACACACACACACACACACACACACACACACACACACACACACACACACACACACACACACACACACACACACACACCACACACACACACACACACACACACACACACACACACCACACACACACACACCCACACACACACACACACACACACACACACACACACACCACACACACACACACACACACACACCACACACACACACACACACACACACACACACACACACACACACACACACACACACACACACACACACACCTTGATGTAGCAGCTCGATGATATTCATCTCCTTAGAGGCTTTGGCTGCTGGTGTTATCTTCAGAAGAGGAAGGTAAGCAGGTGTTGCAACAGTGTTTACAACTTGAATTTGACAGTTGTGAGGGGGAGGGAACAGAAAAGAGTAAATTCACCCAAAGGTTAACTTAATATCAGAGGTACAAGCTTAAAGGGATTAATGTTATTTGAATTGTCAGATTAAAAAGGAATTGGCCAGAGGAAGTGAAGAACATCAAGTAACGGGTAGGGAACAAGGGGGGGTAGATAAGGTTTTTTTGTTCTAAACGGCCGATTCACAGTCATGTTGGAATGTGCTCATAACGCCCCTGAAACCTTGAACGTCGTGCAAAATGATGTTTTAAGTTCAACGCCAGCTGCCTCCCCCTGCTCGTACCACACACACAGACACATTGCAGTGCAAACGCTTCCTTCCTGTTGCTGGTTTAGCCTCTTTTAGAGACAAGATAACAGCAAAAGCATGATATATATCAAGGGGGAAGTTTATTGGGCTGTTTTCCCCGCCCTCTCAGATCAGAGTGACCAAATGTTTTTTATTCAGACATTTTGTTTGAAAACTGGCAACCACCTGATACTCACTGAAGGTGTGGTACACTCACTTTTGACATGTTTTTGTATCAAGCAGCTCACACATTTCCTCTTGTTTCTCTCTTTTGCTATCTCGCAGGTTTGGTCAGACCACAGGGTTGTTTAGCAGCCCCCACTTCCTCATCGAGAGTCGAAGCAGAGCACCAGCTTCCTGTGACGCCTCTGAGTCTCTGGTCAATTAGTTTACGCACATCACTGCTGGATTGAGCCGCATTGAAGAAGATCGGCCTCATCGTTGCATCCTGTGTGGGGGTTTCTGCTAGATCTGCACTGGCATTTTGATTCTCTTCAAAAGCTGGATCTGTCGGGAGTCCTCGGGACATACAAACACATTCATTAGTAATCTTCATATGACAGCTGTGATGCTGTTTTCACAGAGTTAAGGTTGTGTGTGTTTGGAATATTCGGCCATGCTCCAGCAGTCGGAGCTCATCTTTGACTTTGCTAGTGACCATGTTAACATGTCACAGGTAAGCAACAGTTTCTCTTTGTGTATTGAAACTGAGCACACATCTAAATCCGACAAATTGTAATCTGATTAAATCTAATCTGATTGTCTTTTTGTTGCAGTTGGGGCCTTACTCGGATTACCCTGCGGTGATTGTGGAGCAGCTTCCCCATCCACACCTGCTCTCATATGGAGGGCTAGCGTGTGAACAGTCACAGCATCACCAGCAGCTGTTCAAAGGTCAGTACAAACAACACAAACACACACAACCCCGGCCTTTCTTTACCTGTTGCTGCACATTTGTTTTTATTATTTTTAAATCTTCTTTTAATTTGGGAATACCTATCAAATATGCTATGTTAAGCTTGGAATACACCATTAGAATAAGGATAGCCTCAAGGTAACTGGAGGAACCTAACAACTCAAAAGGGCCCCGGAAGAAATGTGTTTATTCTGAAATCTATTTATGAGAATACAGAAGGACTTCCTCCAGTGAAATCTAAACAGAATAGTAGCCGTTAGAAAAACAATTAGGCAACAAAATCTTTCTGAAAAGACATGGTTCTATTTATCTTAGCTTCTGAGGTTACTCAGGTAACAGAAATAAGAAAAGTGTGGTGTTAAAATGGCATTTTAGCTAAGGTAAATCATTTGTAAATCTTGCGTAAATCAATTAAATAGATATTTTTTCCATAACTCAAAAAGTCATCAACGACTTGGCTCTAATACCACTTGTTGACTTAAACAGCATAACTACAAACAGTAATCGTGTCATCAGGGTGTCTTTAAGATGCCTTGTTACAACTGTGTGTCCTTTTTCAATCTCTAAACAGCATGCCCTGTTTCTGTTTCTGTTCTGATGTATTATAGGCAGTGGTGTATGGTAACTAAGTACATTTACTCACGTACTGTACTTAAGTACAATGTGCTGTGCAGGTACTCTTACTTTACTTTAGTATTTCCATGTTCTGCTACTTCTACTCCACTACAATTCAGAGGTGCATCGTGTACTTTTACTCCACCACATTTATTTATTACCTTTAGTTACTTTGCACATTTGTATTAATGATTTGAATTATAATCAACACTTCAATCAGACTTTAGTCACACCTGGAGTAAATACACAAGCTACCATGCAGTATACAAAGTCATTACAACTAGCTGCACCTTTACCATCTTTGATAAACACATTAATGCATCAATAATTATAATCAAAACCTGTAATGTATATTATTCTGAATCTGCATAATGAATACTTTTACTTTTATATATATAAAAGTATATTTTGATGCCAATACCTTTTTACTTTAACTTGAGTAACATTTTGAATGCAGGACTTTTAACAGAGTATTCCTACACTCTGGTACTTCTACTAAAGTACAAGATCTGAGTACTTTTCCCACCCCTGATTATAGGAGGCCTTTTGTAACACAGGTGAAAATAGACTTTAAGCTAATGCTGGCTTTCATTATGTATACATGTACCATTTGTATTTCCTCATTTTCATGTCATCCGATAGTCCAATTAAATAACTATTATCGGTCTAAACTTTATTCATACTATATTAAAAGTCCCACTAGATGTATACCATGGATGTATGTATAATAACAACATAGAAGAGAAGCAATGGACGCATATGCGCAGTCGCAACCCTCGCACATGGATGAAACACCCTCGGCAAAAAAAATCAGGAAGTGAAACAAAACATTCCTGGCTTGTGTTTGGGATAGACCGTTAATGAATCACATAAGGATGTAGACTTGGTCATTTCGGGCTACAGCACACATGCTATAGCTAGTTCCTCACCCGTGCTGGAAATTAAAAGTAAGTTATATCACTATATCGTGTTGTCTTTCGACTTTACTCCAGTTAGAGCAAGCAGTTGAAGTTGGGCATGGCAAGGCTCGGATAACAAGCTAATAGTGAGTGTCATCGCTTGCACACCGTCATGGACAATTTACTTCAAGATTGCAAAATGTTTTTAGGGCAGCAACTTACCTGCCGTGTTTGTATAAACATGGCTTTCTGTTTTGACATATCGTATGCTGGTTTTATCGGCGGCAGAGCGTGTTAGAGCCCACGACACACAGCTGTTAGCTAGCATATGTTCACTAGCCCACCGCCTCCCAGCCTGTTCACGACGTCACATACATTAATGCGCAGAAAACAATTCACTCCCTTTGATGATGTTAAGCTTCGGGACATGCACATGCATGTGGAAAATAACTACGCTGATGTGTGATAAACTACAGAAGCCCAACGATGCCAATGTTTTTGTTGAAGTAAAAACAATATAAGCAGTGGTGGAAGAACTATTCAAAATCTTACTTTAGTAAAAGTAAAGAAGTATTATCTGCAGTATGTACTTTAAGTTTGAATTATTCAGGAAAATGCCCTCCTTGAATTATTTCAATTATTGAAACACTTAAACAGCTAGGCAATGTGTTTATTGTTTAGAAGATGCATTCTGTTAACATTTCTGAAAAGTTGCTAAACATGTTGAATACATGTAGTGGGGGAAAAGTACAATATCTACCAATGAGATGTCTTGGAGTAGAAGTATAAAGTAGGCCACCTAAACAGGACACACTTACTTTCATACCGATATGTGCCAGTTTTAGCACCTCGACCCTAATGTTGTGATTGAGAATGTGTTAAAACTAGTTAAATAGCAGAAAGGTCTGACAAGTAAGCTAAAGGATAAACGGTGTATTGTCCGATTTCTGCCTCCGCCAAGTGGCAATTGCATTAATGCTAACTTGCCCAGGTCTACTGTCACAGAAACAATATATGTGATTGCCATCTTGCACGCATACATGTTTGCGCAACCGTAGGTACATTTTTGCAATCATTTTCTCTGTGGTGGATTACTCTGGAGGTGGAAATCCCAACATATCAAGATGCTTCATCACATCAATGTTGCTTTCAACCTTTCATAAATGTAATTCAGTTCTACCGATTTGTATTGGGGTAGCAGGACAATGTACACAGCCACTTGCGCTGCTTACTAAAACCACCTGCATTGCTAGATATCTCTAGCTGTGAGAGGATGTTTCTTGTAATTTGTCTCAACCTTAAACCTCTGTCCTCCCAGTTTTTCTCATATTGAATTATTACTAAATGCCACCCTCCTACAACTGGTAATAAAATGTTTTTGTTTGTCACTCCCTTCTCTATGTCCTGCAGTGGAGCAATATGAAAGTGGAGAGGAAGAAACCATGGAGACACTTGTTGCTGCTGACTTGCTTCTTAACATGGACTGCCCTGACACCTTGTCACTTGAACACTACTGTAAGCACACAAGCACACACACCTATGTTAACATACACATGAACAGAGTGAAGATGAATAAAAGCGTGCCGCTGCTTTTTGATGCATGACATGTTTGACTGTGCGTTGTTATTTTTAGACATGGTGGTCACAGTGCTGTTCTCTTTCATTAAATCTGTTTGTGCCCCCCTGCAGCCCAGACCTTCCTACCGTCACTGGGTGATGTCATCACAACTCCTGTTACCCAGGTGACCGTCTCAGCAGAGGGGATTGTGGGAGCTATTGACCAGCAGCAATGGCACTCGCTGCACACCAAGAAGCCTGTGTCACAGCTGCAGTCAAAAAAGAGAGGTCAGATACTTTCAAACGTTGTTGGCGTAATAATAAATAACTGGTATTATATAAAATATCTTGTAAATGACTTCTGCTTTTGTTCTCTCAAAAACTCAGCGAGAAAACCACGACATAGAAGAGCAGAGTCTCCAACACCGGATATTGTAGTGAAGAAGGACAAATACAACAAAGGTATTTTCACATATGACACCTATTATGCTTTTTGGGGTTTTTCCTTGTGATATAAAAATTTAAATGTCACTAAGTCAGCCCCAGTAAAGTTTCCATAACACATCCGCCCAACATCAGTATTGGCCTATTGCCTCAGCCTATCGCCTTGTTAAATGCAATCGGCAAAAATCTGAAAACAAGATGCCATTCGCAGATAGCAGTGACTGATATTAATCTTTTGTGTGGCAACATTTTCCACCTAGTAATGTGGTTTTACACGAAAGCGTGTGGTATTGGACAAAGCTCGCATACCTAGCTACTAAGCAGAAGCCACTCGCTGAACACGACTCATGCATGACCTACATCGTATCAGGTGCCGGGTTGTCTGTGGCTTGTTTAGAAAATAATTAATGAAAATGATGGTTGGGTTGTATCAGTCAACGTTTTTTTTTTTTGAAATGCATGATGAGAAGAGCAACAGGAAGAGATACTCACAGTGTATTGTATAGCTCGCTAAGCATAACTACTTGTAAAGCAGGCTAAGAAGACCTAATTTATTTATCAATTATTTTTAGAATCTTGTGTATGTGGAAGGTTGTTTATAAATTTGTATGATTGAAATAGTGGTCATACAAAGAATAATGTTATTATATTTGTATATAGGAAATGCCAACATGGGGATCATCCTTGATTTATACTGGCTCAAGTCTGAAATAAATGCTGCCTGTGTTACATTAAGGCCACTGCGGTACATGCTCAGTGAGATGAAAGAAACCAATGTGCATCCCAGGGGTTCAATAACCTTTCAACAAAGCTTTTACAACAGTAATTCCTAATGTTGTTTCTTCGTCTTTCCTTTTCCATCATGTTTCCTGTGTTTGTGCTTCAGGAGGAAACACGCTGTACCTGTGGCAGTTCCTGATGGAGTTGCTCCAGGACCGACAGGTCTGCCCCCGCTATATTAAGTGGACTAATCCCCAGACGGGCATCTTCAAGTTAGTCAACTCAAAAGCGGTGGCCAGACTCTGGGGCAAACACAAGAACAAGCCAGATATGAATTATGAGACGATGGGCAGAGCTCTTAGGTAAACTACCAAAATAAGTCTAATGCTGCTTAAAAATACCAACACATGCTGTGTCTCAAATTGCGTACTTCTGAACTTACATGTGCTGTTTTTAATACATAAGTGCATCCCAATGTTAAGTGTGGTAAATGCCATTGGTACTCAGATTGTGCACTCGTAACATTCCAAACGTTGAGTGTGGAACGCTGGACACTTCTTGCACTAAACAATCACAATCTTGGCTGTAGCAGAAATGACACGGCTATCTGCGAATGTGAATGCTTCAGTAAACACAGCACAAAAAAAATAAGAGTTATGCATGTTTTTTATGTTTTTTAAATGTAAGTCACAGAACACCATACTGGTGTTGAAAGGATGCAACCTATATTTTTCTAGGGTTAATCGAGAAGTCTGTAATGATTTGGTACCACAAACGTTAGTTGCTAGCTAGCTAGCTAACAGCGGCAATCATCGCTTCCGCACACACTGCATAAGTGTTCACAGTGCACAACATGGTGATGTAGTAACTAAAGTATTCAATGTGAGACGCAGCAACGGTCATAACTCTACTTTATGGAAAATATTTGTGTTTATGCTTTATATGTTTTTGTTAACGATAATTATTTCTGTTGGTGTAGGTACTACTACCAGAGAGGCATACTGAATAAAGTTGAAGGCCAGCGTCTGGTGTACCAGTTCACCTCTCTGCCCAATCATATGATCTACATCACCGATGGAGATGGCATCAAAGAAGAAGAAGAAGACGATGAAGACATTGATGAGGGTGTGAGCGATGACTCAGATGACAGCACCGTGCCTTCTAGCGACCAATCGGTGGAGGATGAGGAAGATTCTCCCCCACCGCAGAAGAAAACTTCGAGCTATGTCCGACCCCCGGCTCCTCAGCGGACCAGGCCGGCTCCCCGGTCCTCAGCACTGCGAGACGGTGTCACGCGTTCTGCCACCAACAGCATGATCCAGGAACAGCATTTGCCTATCGTGTCAGCAGAGATGCTGCGGACCCTGCAGAACCTGCAGAAGGTCCGGTCCCTGCAGCCTGCTGGTCACGCCTCCGTCTTCAAAACCGCTCAGCTGCTGGGCAGTTTGTGCGAGCGGCAGGCTGCGGCTGAGGGGGGCGTGTACGATGCACCTGATGGAAAGTCATACCCGGGACTCAAAACGTCACAAGTGGAGACGCCACTGCTGGTGCCTTTAACTAGCTCTGACCAATAGAGTGGTGCAGCGAGCATTTATTTAGGCAAACCCGGAAATTAGCATAACAAGGCGGTCCCTCAACAACAAGTAATTGGATTTTTCCATTGGATTTTGGAATATTGCCAGAAATTAGATCATGATACTTTGTTCAGCAGGATAATATCCACATCTTAACACCACTTTTATGACTTTTGAAGCGTTAATGCAATCAGCAGAAGGGAAAAGCTATATTAGGCCATAAACTAACAACATCCATTCCTAAGACCTTGGGTTTGGTACTCTCATTTAGACACTTGTTAGCAACCGTCGTTTTATGACACATAGAATCTACAGACATTCACAAGAATTATATTTCCTTACGTATATTATTTCGTGGAACAAAACCTGACTATCTCTTCAGGTTGTGTTATCCACAGACCTTATTTCAGGCCTCTACCCAACAAAAACTCCATAAAAACATGAAATTATTGAAGAAGGAACCAGAGGTGTTCAAATGCCTACTTATTCCCGGGTTTTAGGACTCACTCCTGCACCACTCTATTAAAATAAAAGCTTATACACACACACACGCACACGCACGTACACTCCACTGACTCAGGACCAGTTACAGAGCTGCACTCCGCTGGGACGATGTGGCACTGATCCTGGATTATTTTTGTATTTTAGAATACATTATATTACAGTAACAAAAGTAATTCTCGATCACTGCTGCCTCCCTCACATCTGAGTTTGCAGGAAACCAAAATTCCACAACATTTAGCAGTTTATCTTGTAAGAGACTTTAAATAAAAGCTTGTGCGCCTTATCTTAGCCTTTCAATCTCAGCAGCCGTTAATCATAAGACACCAAAGACGACATGCACTGGATCCTGCAGCCGCTCTGCAGACACACCCTCCGCTTGCACTCCACCTCCAGCGCCATGGAGCCAATTATCTGAGCAGCACACTGTGGCCTCCTTCTAAGTCTTCTCTCTCGCTTTTCTTTTTTCTTTTACTATCACATGCTGAATCATTCCTCTGCCTTAAAAGTGGCTTTGCACTAATGTTTACCCCTGCTGTACGTTTCTTCTCCAAGTGCCTGACGATTCTCAGTCCATCCTGTCCCTGCTT